TCAATGGCCCAAGGATGCTTTGTGAGAGAAGCACATCCACCTTCATGGATAACAGAAGGTCACTCTGCAGTGCCACTAAGGTCAAATTAATCATTCGACTTTGTATTGTCAGGCATTCAAACCCCTAGTGACATCTCTCCAGCATCACCACACAGATGTTCGACCTCTAGATGCTGAAGTGTTTTCCCAGTGCATGCTGTTCTAGTCACTCCCCTTGGGGTCAACTGCTTAATTACCCCTCCTGATCCCCTACCTAATTATCTGTTTTCATCTAATTTAAAGTCTCTATTTAACTAAAATCTCAATCGATTACCTGTTTCCAACACAAAATGTTAGCCAGCCAAGGGCAAACCTTGAGGCGGCTCATCGCACCATCATAGTTTTCTCAACCACCTTCTAACTATCTCTCAATGATGTATTGCTGTTAAGTTGCATCAGGGCTGTCAGAGCTCACCAAGGTTACCTGTAGGTTGTGGAGACGTTCGGGTCGAGGCGCTCGGAGTGGGACTTGTTGGTGCCTGTTCCAGATGTTTCCTTATATTCCCACCTAAACATTTCACACATACGACAGATGCATGTAAAAAAGCACTTTTTCTTGATAAAATGCTTCACTAATTAACCCACAAGGTTGCGAATTAATATTCAGTGAGCTCCAAATGGATGTTAATGCAGATAGACTGGTCACACTTGGCAGGAAATAAGCACATGTTATGGGTACGCATGCATGAAATCCATAGCAAAGTGGTGTGCGTATCACTTTATTGCATGAATATTCATTGAGTGGATCAGCTCAGAGTAGTTTTGTCAGTCAAAAAGACACAGAATGAGAAGGTTCATTAGGACTCATTCTGCTTATCATGCACAACCATCACACTTGACAGAAAATGTTGAACGCATGCATACTAAGCATCAATGCAAAGTAGTATCACCGAATTGTATAAATATTCATGAAGTGCATCAGGTTTAAGTAGTTGTGATTGTCAGTCAAAAAGAAAATAGAACTGTACTGAATATTCAAATGAGGAGGCGGGGTTACGACTTCTGTAGGTTATTGATAGACTAAAGTGTATGTGTGAACTAAACATGGCTATTTCTGAACATGTTATCTTTATAGCTTTATGAATTATCCAGCAGTTCTGGACATCTGTTCTTCAGCATGCCTTTAATTTTAGTGTTCTCAAAACCCAGAAACCTACTGCAGCTACCATAGATAGCGTCCACATGTTGGCAGAGAGATCGGAACGATCCTTCCCAGCACATTCTCATCAGTCTCTTTTCCTAACTATGACACAGTTCTAAATGCCTAATTGACACGAATACGAAATGCCATTTAAAAATGAAACTTTCCTCAAATGTAATTTGTTGTCATTCTCTTCAAAGGGTTCTCTGGCCGGTTTTTTTTTTTTGGGCTGAGATTGAAGTGGCTCATGAAGCAGTAGGAAGCTAAAACCTGTGTTATTGGCCTGACATCTTGATGTAGGTCGAGACTACAGATGTTTTTTCAAGAGATTAGTGCTACAAGACACACAAAGGTTAAGGCAGACTTCCTATGTTAGTAATTGAAATGTTTGATCTGTGGACATCTGAGAAGAAAAGGTTGTGCTCTATCTATCGTTTTGAAGTGTGACCGTTTCATTCTGAATACCACTAGTGGAGAACAAGATGTTCTGGAGCATGACATGTTATAGCTTGCACATCGGCCTGGATGAAGGATGATGGCATTTTATAAACCGTTTCTAGGGTGTTCTGGGTGTTTGCTGGTCAAAAAAGCCTACTTCCTAGAATCTATGATCTTCTTGACCCAAATTATAGTTTGGATGACACTTTCAGTGTCAATCTGCTGTATTTTTTATTTATTTATTATTATTTTTGCCTGTTTTATCATCTGTCAGTTCATTTCTTTAGAAAAATAATAGCACAGCAACCCATATGATTTGTGGTATCATTTACAGTGTGGGATGAGCTACATGGTGCATTTTAATACTTAGCAATTTGTTCTGAAGGTGTGGATTTTATGAACTATGAATATATTTTTATGCATTCTGCACCCAGATGAATAATGAAATTGTTAGTGTTTTATTTAATGCTGCTTATTACAAATTAAGTGTCATTGTTTTTTTTGTGCACCAAATGAATGTGCTGTGCTTCATTTGTAGATAGCTGAATTTGCATAGTGCGTTTAGTGTCTAATTTTCAGAAATGGTTACCAGAAAGCAACTGGTTTGATCCCTGTAAGGAGCTTTCAGTGATCTATCTCCGATGTGCCTTAGAGAAAGACATTTAACCTCAGGTTGTTCTAGGATGAAATGCAGGGTCCCAAATTAATTAGTCAACAGTTAAGCGTGTCACTTTCAGAATGGTAACATAATTGCACTTCCATTAAAATTTTAAGAGTTTGAAAGAAGTGTCTTTTGTTCACCAAGGCTGCATTTATTTGAGCAAAAATACAGTAAAAAATGTAGTGAAATATTATAACCATTTAAAATCTGTTTTCTTTTTTAATATATTTTAAAATGTTATTTATTTCTGTGATGAAAGCTGAATATTCAGCATCATTACTCCAGTCTTTACTGTCACATGATCCTTCAGAAATCATTCTAATATAGTGCACAAGAAATATTTCTTATGAATGTTGAAAGCAGTTGTGCTTTTTAATATTTTAGTAAAAACTGTGATGTGTGTTCTTTGATGAATCTGAGTCTAAAAACAAAAACATTTATTTGAAATATATTTTTTGTAACAATGTAAATATATTTACTGTTTTTGTCACTTTATTTAAAGCTGCAGTCCGTAACTTTTTTTGTGTTCGAAATTTACCAAATTTATATAATAAGCGAGTACACCGTGAATCCATTTTCCAAACCGTGTTTTTGGCTTGTCCTGAATCACTACGGTACACCTATAATAAATGTTTATATTCTGACTATTTAGACTGGTCCGGGTAGCTACCGCTGCGGAGTAGCACAGTACCTGCGTGACTCGCCATAGACGTAAAACGAGAGAAGGAGACAATGTTCTTCCGCAAGACGCACGCAGTTCTGTTTATTAACCGCTAGCATGCCAAAAGTTACGGACTGCAGCTTTAATGCAATTCATAATTTTTTATCATAGACTGTATAAAAACATGGACGTAGTGTCCGTGACGTCACCCGTAGGTTCCTGAAGAGGTTTTTGAAGCTCAAAAGTGGGCAGAGCCGGCCGTCGCCATCTTGACCGCGCGTCACTCCCGGATAATCGAAAATGGGCAAAAAGGCGGGAGCTGGTTGCTGAAACCACACCCACCTAGCTCGACGGTGGTGACAGCAGCGGCAATCCACCGGTCACTCAAGTGGCCACTCCCTTAATTATGCAGAACTTTAAGGCTTAATATAATTTAAACGGATGACAAATTTCACCCCCTCACAGTTGTCATGGAGGGCAAAATTAGCTATATAAACCAAAATCATTTTTTGAACCAGGCTGTAAACATGTTTTTTTCTGCTGTAAAGTTGGGCAGTTTAACTTGGGGAGTCTATGGGATTGACTCCCTTTTGTGTCAGTCATGTCAGTGATGAATTACAGTTTAAGTCACTTCCTTGTTGGCTTCAGGAGAGAGAGCGGGAGGTTGCCGCTTGTTTTTTATCAATACTTACGGAATTAAAGCATTTCTTTCACAAAAAAATAAAGGTTTGAACAGTAATGCAAGTGAAATTGTAACAATCATAATCTGACTTTAGCTGATGTAAGTGATTCAAATAAAATACAATTTCGTCTTATAATGAAAAAAAAAATCAGCACTTTTATTTTCTTGATGCTGAGTGATACAATGATCTGCTGTTTATCACAAATTTAAAAAATAATAAAAAATGTTAAATTATATTTGTACATGGACCGAAATCTACTTTTATTACCACATATAGTGGTACCACAGCTAATTTTGGACCGATATCACACGAATTCATGGAAATAATACTTTCATATTGTCAGGAAGAGGCCGTTCACAGTTTTCCTTGTCCTTCCTAGCTTAGCACTTATGTGAGGCTTTTTCAGTCCTGATCCTATCTGTTCTCCAATTTCAAGCCGTGAGTTTTCTGATAATACGGTGCATTAATCACACAAACACACATCCAGACGTCTCGCCCTTTGCTTTACCACACAGTCATGCAAATGTTTCCCGACAGCGGATGGCATGGCGGCCACACTACAGTGCCAGTGCCTGTCAGGTAGACGCATGCAAGAAATCAGAACATAAAACCTACTAAATGACAGCGTGTGGTCTGTGGGCTCTCTGCCGCTGAAGGCGACTCTCCAGTCAGAGCTGTAACAAATAGGGCTATTATTTAGCTATCAATTCTCTGGAGCTGATGTCAGCTCATTTCAGGATCCTGTGCCATCAGTTTGGGTGAGAGACAGGTACTCGTTGATCATGTCAGGATGTTTCACATGCTTCGTGATCACTAATGTAGAGATGACCAATGTGACAAAGAAGCTGTCTTCACTATCCTGTGTCTTATTTGTTTGTCTCTTCACTGATTCTTAATATATATATATATATATATATATATATATATATATATAAAACCATAATATGTGTATGGTTTCTTTTCTGCTGACTGGAGTACAGTCGTGGTTTTGTGTCTTTATTTTATGCAAGTGCTTAATCCTCACTGCTGAATGTTTTGGCTGTGTTCCCCTAGAGAGCCTGGTCATTTATTTCACGGCTCTCAGGAAAATTGTAAATTAAATGTGGAGTTGTCGTAAATGGGTTTCTTTATGTAATGGAGATTTGCAGAAAGAGGCGCACAGGTTTCAAAGCTCATTTAACTTTTCATATAGCATGAGAGAGTTTGTGTGAGGTGTTGAGCACTGTGATATGCATACTAATGATAAAATGCTTTAAAGTTTCCCTTTCTTATTTTCTTGGGCAGTATTATAGAGAGATGCTTGGAGATATCGCATTGTCTGTATTTGAAATATTTGTATTATCTTTTTTTATCTTTCTTTCTTTGTCTCTCCTACAGATTTGGACCTTCGGTATTTTTGGAGTTGGAGTTCTTTTGAGGACTATCTGATGTTCTGCTTTGCCTTCACGCTGCTGTGTGCTTTCATAACGTTCCTCTTTCTGGATTGGGTCCTATTTGTGGAGGCTCTGGGCTCTTTGGCTGTAATGTTTGAAGCCATGTTGGGACTGCCTCAGCTGCTGCAGAACTACAACAACCGCTCCACCCGAGGCATGAGGTAAACAAGACCCAAACTGTTATTGATCTTTTCATAAAATGTTTAATTTGGGCCTTACATTACATTACATCAAAATGTTATATTCAAAAACTTACCAAGCAGAAAATACAATCCCAATTCAATTCAATACAATACAATACAATTCATTGTATCAGGTTTAGAGTAAAAATGCTGTTTCGGTAGTGTTGACTCTAAGGATGCACAATATATCAGTACCATATAATTTATCAGCTGATATTAGAGGTAATTTATCAGTATTGTTCATGCTCATTTCCCCTATTTTTACAGCATGGCACTTGGATTAAATCAAAGGTGAAGTTGTTCTTTAAAAACACTTATCATTTAATTATCATTTAAAAATAGCACTGTCCCAAATTAATCTGAAAATAATTTAAATTATAAAAATGTTTCAATACGTGCATTATAAAGTTATGACGCTGAAAGAAATATTTCACCCAAAAATGAATATCAGGCCGTCAAAAATGTAGATGAGGTTGTTTCTTCATCAGAACATATTTGGAGAAATGTATCATTACATCACAATCTCACCAATGGATCCTCTGCAGTGAATGGGTGCCGTCAGAATGAGAGTCCAAAACGGCTAAAAAACATCGCAATCCATAAGGAAGCCACACGACCCCATTTCATCAGTTAATGTTTTGTGAAGTGAAAAACTGCATGATTATAATAAACAAATGACGTTTTTTTTTGTTTCTTACAAACGTGTTTTTGACAGCACCCATTTACTGCAGAGGATCCATTGGTGAGCAAGTGGTGTAATGCTAAATTTCTCCAAATTTGTTCTGATTAAGAAACAAACTCATCTACATCTTGGATGACATCAGTGTAAACAATTTTTGTCATTTTTCATTTTTGGGTGAACTCTTCCTTTAACTGTAACTGTTGCATTTAAAACAGCTGATTTTAGTTTTCAGTGTTTTATATTTAGTTTAATTAGACAAAAAAATAGTATGTCCATGTATGTTATTTTCCATGTAGCATTCAAAATATACAGCCTATGCCTCACAACCTAGTTTGTGAGGTAGTTTTGCCATAATGTGTGTCGCCTGTGCCATGACGGGTAGATGGTGAGAAGGTTAAATTCACACACGGTAATTGTTTGCAGGACATGCTTCACCCAAGACACCACTCATTAAAGGCACGTAATGATGATAATTAATTTTAGACAGCTAAGGAGCTTGTTAATTGATGTTATAGCCCACTCTGCTTGAATTCGAAGACTCCTTGGTGAAACAAAGTTGACCTTACTGGTACTTTTTTTTTTGTGGGGGGGGGAGCCCAGAATGAGCACCAGAGAGAATTTAGAGCAAAGCTAATATCTTTACCCTCAGGCTTCAGTCAGCATAATAATCACAGCTCAATATCAGCTCCACTTCAGCTGAAGCAAGCTCTTTTTCCCTCTTTTCATTTAAAAAAAAAAAAAAAGGAAAAAGTCCTTCATCTCATGGTCTGCTCCACAGAACTCGGTGTGACACACACTCCAGGCTCCCCTTTATGAGCCAAATTAAACATTGTGAGCACAGTTTAGGCTGAGAGAAGGAAATTGGAAGCTAATGTAAATGGAATTTCTCAGGAAATCCATCTTTTTATGAACCCAATGAATGTGTCACTGCCATAGCGTGTAGTGTGTAATGCCTTTGCCCTTGATGTGATTTCAGTGTGTCTGCAGGCGTCGATGGCCCTCGACCGATCACTGCACTGGCATCTGTGTTTCTTTACGTATGCGAGTGAATTTATTATTATTGCGAAGTCTTTGGAGACATGTTTCAGTGTGTGTATTTAAAGCCATCCTTCAACATCTATGAGTGGAAAATATCTGTCACCAAGACAGCACTGCAGTGTTTGTGTGTGTGTGTATATACAGTATATTGTGTTCATATATCTGCGTATAAATATGTAGTGAACCTTTAAACCTGACAAAGTTCCACACAAACTTGTTGGGATTTTATCTAAAATGATTAAATGTGCAGAAACTACTACAACAGTGTATAAAAAATTAAATAATTAACTCAATTAACTCAGGTTTGACATATTGCATTTGTGATTTGTCTGTAATTAAGTTTCAGTATACAAACGTGTGAATGAGATTTGAGAGTTTCTGCAGATAATGAATAATTGAGAAATTGATTTGTTCCTCATACAAAGTTATTGTTTGAATACAGAAGACTCAAAATATATTAAACAGGTTTTATAAACTATTTTATGGCACTTTAGGGAGCTTGACAGCCCTTGGTCACTATGGCTCCATTTCAAAACCTACAGGTGCATCTCAATAAATTAGAATGTCGTGGAAAAGTTAATTTATTTCAGTAATTCAACTCAAATTGTGAAACTCGTGTATTAAATAAACAGACTGAAGTAGTTTAAGTCTTTGGTTCTTTTAATTGTGATGATTTTGGCTCACATTTAACAAAAACCTACCAATTCATCTCAACAAATTAGAATATGGTGACATGCCGATCAGCTAATCAACTCAAAACACCTGCAAAGGTTTCCTGAAAATGGTCTCTCAGTTTGGTTCACTAGGCTACACTTTTCCATGACATTCTAATTTATTGAGATGCACCTGTAGTATGTTGATTATATGTAAATATAATTCCTTTAGTACCATTTTGTTTTAATTGATCAGTACCAAAAAGTATTGATTATAAAAGTTGAAATTAGGTAAATGTAATTCACAGATTAACTATTTTATCTAACATTTATATGTGCTAGGTAATTTTATGCTTATTGAAGCTTAGAATTAGCAACATGCTAACAGCAAACTGTTGAAATCAAATGTGGGTTAAGTGTTGACATGAGAAATGCTACTGTCAATGTAGAGTGTTTCAAATTGATCTCTTATGAGGTTCTATTTCAATTCGTATGCTACCTTAGAAGTCAGCTCACTTTGCTTTGGGAAATTAGCCTATATGCTTTCACTGAATAGAAAAGACCTGTGGCAACATTTTTCATCTGTTTCAGTGAAGAAAAAGGCATACAGGTTTAGAACGAAATGATGGTGTGGAAATTGTGACAGAATTGTCATAGGTTAATCACTGCTTTAATGTATGTTAAAATTTTAACAATATTGCCTTAAAATTCCAACCCAGCCTTAGTTAATTGTCCAGTGGTGTTCCAGTGTTTCCAAAAGAGATAGATATGAAACTGGCAATGTTTTATTACACTGACTTAAAGGATTCTATCACGTTTGAAAATAATGTGCCATGCACACTAAACCTAACTGAGATAAAAACACATTTGCTGGAACAACCATACCATTTTTGCTTGCTTCTACAAGTCTTTTATCTTGACTCTTGTTTCACAGTATCCTTATCTGAGTGTAGTGCTCTACCGGGTGTGCTACCGAGGTAGTTTGGTGTCAGAAAAGCCATATATATGGATCTGGTTATGTTATACAAACGTCATTTTCAAACCATGCACTATGCCAAAAGTGTTTAAGGTCATAACATGGTATTGAGCAAGGAACCATAATTAATTCTTTGTTAACATTTTATCTGCTTCTCTAAACATTTTTGTGAGAAAAGTTTTTTTTTTTTTACTGTTCATTCGATATGGAAACTGCAGTAAATTGTATCTGCAGGAAAATTTTTGGGAATTTTGCAAAAATGTCAGTATAGGCATAGGCACAGCTTTTTTTCAGTATAGGCACAGCTTTTTTTTTGGTTGTAAAATGCTGTCTAGCTTTGCAGCTCACTAGGTTGTGGAGCTGAGTTGTGTTTGTGTTGCTGTGCCCTTGTTGAGAGAGTTTTACAAGGTATTGTGATGTACTCCACATCAGTAACTCTACCAATGACACATGCAGTACTGTCTTTAACAAGACCAACCATCCATTCCCTCCTACTGTCCTTTCTATATACGGGCCAGTGAAGCTGGAAGGGTCCAACGCTGTGCCCTTGAGCCAGACATTTATTGAACCTGAAGGATTTAAATGGCCCATCTCCCCTTGCTATTCTCTGAAAGCTCCCATCTCTTATTGACCTTCTTTCTCCTCGTTTGAACTTCTTGTTGATTCTGTGTCCACTTCTGCTGCTGTTTTAATTCATGCTTTTTGAAGATGCTGATTTCATTTTCCAGCAGGATTTGGCACCTGCCCACACTGCCAAAAGCACCAAAAGTTGGTTAAATGACCATGGTGTTGGTGTGCTTGACTGGCCAGCAAACTCACCAGACCTGAACCCCATAGAGAATTGAGGCAGTAATTAAAGCAAAAGGAGCCCCTACCAAGTATTGAGCACATGTACAGTAAATGAACATACTTTTCAGAAGGCCAACAATTCACTAAATGTTTTTTTTTATTGGTCTTATGAAGTATTCTAATTTGTTGAGAAAGTGAATTGGTGGGTTTTTGTTAAATGTGAGCCAAAATCACCACAATTAAAAGAACCAAAGACTTAAACTACTTCAGTCTGTGTGCATTGAATTTATTTAATACACGAGTTTCACAATTTGAGTTGAATTACTGAAATTAACTTTTCCATGACATTCTAATTTATTGAGATGCACCTGTAGTATGTTGATTATATGTAAATATAATTCCTTTAGTACCATTTTGTTTTAATTGATCAGTACCAAAAAGTATTGATTATAAAAGTTGAAATTAGGTAAATGTAATTCACAGATTAACTATTTTATCTAACATTTATATGTGCTAGGTAATTTTATGCTTATTGAAGCTTAGAATTAGCAACATGCTAACAGCAAACTGTTGAAATCAAATGTGGGTTAAGTGTTGACATGAGAAATGCTACTGTCAATGTAGAGTGTTTCAAATTGATCTCTTATGAGGTTCTATTTCAATTCGTATGCTACCTTAGAAGTCAGCTCACTTTGCTTTGGGAAATTAGCCTATATGCTTTCACTGAATAGAAAAGACCTGTGGCAACATTTTTCATCTGTTTCAGTGAAGAAAAAGGCATACAGGTTTAGAACGAAATGATGGTGTGGAAATTGTGACAGAATTGTCATAGGTTAATCAC